ACCTCGAAATCAATGATCCCGCTAGATCAGCCTGCTCAGATGTATTTTGTGACAAAACCTGAGCCTTGAGTCCACACGTAAATGTCCTGATGGAACGACCCTGATTAGGAAAACACATTCTAAAATCTAAGGGAGAAGAAACCATCTCGAATTCTGTTATAAATAATTTCCATAGGTCAGCTAAATGTCATTTGTGTTGCATTAAAGTAATACTCTCTTTCCATAGGTCAGCTAAGTGTCATAATGTGTTACATTAGGCTGTTACACAATATTGAACAAAACACAACTCTACACATGTAGAAAATAGTAAAATATTGATAAACAAACCTGCTGCACTAAAACTTCTTCCTTGAGAGAGAAAAAGCACTTTGATGTTTTATCTTTTTATACTTTCAAGCCTAATCAACAAGAGATGAGATTCAATCTCTGAAACAGGGAGCGGCCAACAAGCTCTAAGTGATGTGTTAGAAAAAAACAAATTACTTGGTAGAATTTTAAAAGTTTAGCCTTGGATACACTCCAATGATCTCAGACTTAGCGGCAGCTTAACAAAGCTGTGGGGAAAAAAAGGGTACCATTGGTAGTGGACACAAAGAATGCAGAATTTAGGGGACATCTGGCAGAACTGCCAAGATGTGGAAGAAACTGATAAACCCAAATGAGCTCCAAGCGGGTAAAAGGTAATTCTGGTAATTCTGTGACCACCCACCCAAGAAACCCACTGACCCCAAAGAGAAGGACTCAGCACAGCACTAATTAGCGTCAGAAGCAAATCATTAACCGGTAGAAGATAGAACACTAATTAACAAGTGGACTGTGTGACTGGTGGCAAATGAACACTAATTCCTTTGTGTGGTAAAATGTGTAAACAGTAAAAAGTTTTGATGGTTGGGCTGCCTGCTCTGTGAGGTTCACCCAGGCTTGTCAAAGCTGAAATAAATAATCAAAGTCCCTCTGGTACGTGCAGGTATCGCTGTGTTGTGCTCCGGGTAACAAATGTGATTTTTAAGGACATGAATAACCCAAAACTCGCTGTGATGAACAAATGAAGGCGCTGCTGCTCCGCCTGTGAGTTCACAGCCGGCCTGAAGATGGCATACACAGAACGCTGAACACACACCAGCCGCAGTCCAGCTCCCCTGCTTTCCCCAAAATGCGATTTTTATGGTGAATTTTGCCCGTAGCTCAGTCCTTTCTCCCCTCACACGCTGTTTTTCACCCTCCATTGGGCTCTATCAGTGAAAAGAAGCACACAGTAAATTTGGTGTCACACCAGGAGCAAATTCAGGCCACCCACTGAGTCTGGTTATCCCAAATTCCCTCAATTTTTGCCTCTGGCACAATGGGAGAAATATTTCCCCACTAGGAACATGCACTCTGAGGCTTGGAACATATTCCATCAGTTCCATCAGTTAGCTCTGTCTAACCTACAAATAATTGTTTAGTCTGCCAACAAGCAGGCATTGTAAAATCCCACACTAAACAGGGTTGTGACAGTCTGACAAAAATAGTGGAATGTGCCAATACACTCTATGTTGGTACACTCCTTTATGGAAAATACCAAATTTATTGAATCACCATTTACTTATGTCATGTTGCCACTGGTAATTTACAGTTAATGGTGATCATATACACATTTGAAACTGCAAACACACCCTTATTTCACTTTTTGCTGTGTGTTTGCCAAGAAATATTTAATGGTTTTAATAGACACACATTTATGCAGACACACTTGCAGTCTGCATGATTTTATTTAAATCACATCTTTCTTTTGGCAGACACAGGGCTAGGTAAGGTTTTTCAATTCTCTTTTTTTTTTTCCTTTTATTTTTTTTGTCCTCCCAGCCTGGGAATAGCAGATTTGGTTTTAATCAACCCCTTTGCAGTGCTGAACTTTGTCCTCCTGGAATACAGAGCCATTCATTGAAGGATTTCCCCCTGTCTAATAAACATTAATGAAGCACACTTTACAATTCCCCTGTGATCTTATCTCAGTTTCACAGATGGGGAAAACAGAAACAAATTAAGGGGTCTGCACACGCCACAAATCAAAGGCAGAGCTGGGGAAAGAACCCAGGAATCCCAGCACAATTCCCTGCTCCAATAACTGAGAAATGTGCTCCCATCCCTGCAGCTGCTCTGGCACAGGGCAGCTTTGTTACCTTCAGGCCATCCAGGAAGAAGAAAATTGCTCTTTTTTCTGAGGTTTAGCTCCCACAGAACTGAAAATCCTGCGAGGTGGCAGAGGGCTCGTGGCTCTGCTGGATTATCCCTCAGGATGTCTTTATTCCCTTCTGAGCAGAGGATCTCTTTTCTTTTCTGATTAGCAGAGATCTAGCAGGATGTGGGGAATATTCCAGCCCCTGCTGGTACACCGTGGGGTTTATCCATCTTTCCCAGGAGAGAATCCTGATTTCCTGGGGAATTCTCATCTCCTACCTCTGGACAGTGTGGTCCATTCCATGTGCCTGTGAGGAAAACCACATCTATTAATTACATCCAGCAAGGAAAGGCAGGTAATTGCCTTGAGCCTGGAATTTCTAAGTAGGGCCACTTTCTAGCAGAACAATCCCCGAGCTGTGGTTTCAGCAGAGACAGAGGAAACCAATGTTCCCTGCAAGCTGCACTCCTGTCAGACACCCAGCAGTTTTTCTGACAGCCAGGATTTTTGTGGCACTGGCTGTGAGTCATTATTGAAAAAGTGTTATTCTTAAAACAGAGGAAGAATACTGGAAAAAGGAGGTGTTAGACAGGAAAAAACCCAAACCCCTTTCACACCTCCATCTGCTGTCTTGCAGTGCCTTGCTACCAAACATTTACAAATTGACATGTTTTATTGCAAATCTTGCTCTGCTTGTTAAAAAATGCTTCTTTTTGAAGACACAATCAGACATTTAGCCTTTCTCCCCTGCCATGAATATATTTTCCTTGTGTTTAGCTCCATGGAAAACAACAATTCCTGCTGTGCAGCCTTCTGCCAGGACAGCCAGATAATTCCTAACTGCACTCCCAGGTTTCTGCTAAAAACAGGCTGCAGGAAATACAGCACTGGCAGGAACCTGGTTTAGTTTGTTCTGCAGGTGGGCAGCGTCCAGCCAGAATCAAACTGGGATTTGATCTGGTGGAATTTAATATTTTTGTGCTGGAGAGGGATTTGCAGTTCTGTGCTGAGAGTCCATCTCAGCATTGAGGAGCTCCTGAGCCAGGTGTGAGCGAGCCATGGCACAAAGGGTGACAGAGCTGCCACAGCAACTGCTCACCCTCTTGTTGGTGTGCTCACAGCCCTGCCCAGCTCACCCCAGGCTGATCCATTCCCCTCCAGCTGCTCTGGAGCTGTGTCTGCACATGGACCTGCAGTGAGTCACAGTCACACTCTCGGGTCTCTGTGCCCCAGTTCCGCAAACCTTTCTGCACAAACATCATTGTACTCAGCACAGGAGACCTGGTGTACTCACTGCAGGCCTCGACTGATGTTCTTACAGCCCTGCTTTCTCTTTAAAGTTGGTCTGGGAAGTGATTTTGTTGATTGACCCCCCTCACACGTCCGCCTGCTTCACCCTTTTTAAATTTAACTCCAGTGTCAGATGTGCAGCTGTTTCCGAGGCCACATCCATGAATGATTGCTGCTCCTGCCAGGTGCAAGCCTGAATAAAAAGGTCACGGGCTGGGGAGAGGATTAAGCTTTGGCTCAGCTGTTTGCATTCTCACACAGAGCACGGGCTGTCCATCCATCTGTCTGTCAGCCCTCACACATCATGCAGACAGGTGAGGAGCTGAACGTTGGAAACAATTCAGTGACGCTCGTACAAAGCCACTACGCCGTGTCTGTGGTTTATAAAAAGCTCCCCCAGCAATCCCCCAAGCAGCCCTTGGATCAGTGAAATGATCTGTGCAGGAACATAAATGCAGAATGGCATGGGAACAGTCTCCCTGGAGACTGGGGCAGGGCAGACTGGAGAATACCTAAATCTCTAAACGGTGTCTGAGATTTTTCATGTTAAACTGGAACATTTCCTTCCCACGCTTACCTAAGGAGATGAAGGGAGGCAGCTTATGGGCACTTAGCACATACACTGAGAGCAAGCAGGGAAAAAATCCAGGAGGCAGGGAGCAGATCCATCCCCCTGGATCTCCACCTGAGGCATTCCGCTGATTCAAGGCCTTTTGTACCTGCAGCAGTGAAAGCTCTTGGTTATTTTAAGACCTCCTCACGCTTGCACTTCTGTTTCAACCCATGGGAGGCTTCCAATCTATTTCTGTGTATTAGTAATCCTTCCTCTTCTGACTTCCTTATCAAATGTGCAAAACAATCAATAATTCACTCAGGCCCTCCATTCCCATTAGAGTGCACCCACAGCTGTGATTTAAATATATTTCTGTGGCTGTAGAATGAGCATATATCCTAAAGTGCCCTGGAAATGCCCTCTTACACATGACAGCATCTCCTGCCACCCAAAGTAGTTTTATTTCTCCAGCTGTTAAATCTAGGACAAAATACTACTCTTTTGTTCTATATTAAGACCATGGAATAACAGCAGCTGACTTCCCAGCCTCTGTCCTCGTGGAGGGGAGCAGCAGGATGAAGAATTAACCCCTGGCATGAGCTTTTCTCTTGCTAAGTCATTAAGAAAAGCCAGATCTCCTTGATGCTCTCTTGGATGACAGAAAACTGGAGGTTGATGAGCTGGGGGTTGCCTTCCTCCCCTTCCCATGGCCCTCACCACACACTGTAGGTCCAGGCTCACCTGGGATTTCCTTCCACAGCCTTCTTTGGAAGGACCTGAGGCTCATGTAGCTTAATTAAGGATAAAAAAGCAGATTTGAACTCTGCTTCCCCTTACCACAGATGCTGTCACACCTCCCAGGAATGAACTCATCCCTTACACCCTCCTTTTGGAGGGAGGGCTGAGCTCTGGGAGATCAAGTGACGTGACCAGGTCTCCAGGAGTCACAGAGAGTGTCCAGAGTGACAGATCCCCAAGTGCCACATCCCCCAGACTTCAGAGATCTGCACAGACCAGACAAGTACCAAAACTTCTTACCAGAGACAAGGACAGAGCTGTCAGAGCACAAACTCCCCGAATATTTTATCTGGGAATCCACAGCCTCTCCCATTTCCTCTTTAACCCTTCAGTACCATCAGCTCTGAGTGTCCACAACATCCAGCAAGGAGGGCAGAGCACGGGGCAGCCACACACGTCCTGCTACTGACTTCACTTCTCCCACCAGCTCTGGAAAAAACAAAAACAAACCCAAATCCCCGCTCCAGCATAACTGTGGCTCTGTTATTCATGGATCTTAAATCTTACTCCTTCATGAATTTTAATGTGCAGTCCATTTTCTTCCCACTAATCCTACATTAGGCTGGAAGCCTTTCCAGACTGAACATTTGTCCTCCTTCACTTTTCTTTCCCCGTGGCTGCCTGTCCCCAGGCACTGCCCTTGTCTCTGCTGGGCTGGCACTGAACTTCAAGCAACATGAAAGTGTTTTCTTATCGGATCCTCCAGTTCTGTGCATCCCTGGCAGAAGCAGCAGGGTGGCTGCCCTGGGAACTGCAGCTCTTTATTTTGCCCACGATTTGGATTTGGCAAATCTCTGTTGTTTGAGGCAACGCCTGTCTGCGAGTCTTTAGCACCGTGCTTTTATAAATCCCTTTTTCCAGCTAAAACCTTCTCCACAAGTCATCAGGAAGGGGTGAAAGCCTTTCAGGAAATTCTCCTTTCCAAGGAATTCCTGATGAGTGGCACACAAGAGCAAACCACAGGCAGTTCCACACCACCACAAGCTCCGAGATGCTGAACAGCCCCATTTAAAATGAAATCTGGTTAAAAACCAGACAGAACCATGAGATACTCCCATATCACCTTCTGCAAAATGCAGTTTGAGCCTGTTCTTTCTTTCAGTACTAAATTTAATCATTTGTTCAGCTGAAGTGATGCTTCCAAAGGGAAGATACCAGTTTGGATAGAGGAGGAAGCCACCATTTCCCATGGAGACATCCCTGAGGAATCATTGCGCCCTGAGGAGTGGAATCTACAACAAATTGAGGCCAGATGCTCTGGCTGTGTTAAATTGCTAAGAATATCTCAAACCCATCCCCTCCATGTGTCTCACAGAACCCTTATTAGATGAAAAAGAAATATGGTACAGTTCTCAGCTCTGAACTTCTAAAAATACGAGAACTTTGATATATAAATGCATGTTGAGGAGCTGGCTGGCACCGACTACAAATGTTCCCAATTGCCTTTAATTCCACACACTTGCAGAACCAGTGGTGAAATTTCTTTTCCAGGATATCCAGAGCACACCCAGTGCTCCAAGGATTCCATCCCTGGGGACACTTTGTGTGCCATCAGTGCAGCAGGCAGGAATGAATCGGGCTGAAAATCTGATTTGACTTAAACAACACTGACCTGATGAGGAGAGAGGAGTCTGAAGCAAATCCCATCTGTTCCTTATTTCTATAACAGGCAAGCTAAAACCCTAAATCCACACAGCTCTGAGCTTTGAAGCCAAATTTTGCAGCTTGAGTCCATTACTAGCAAATGATGACTGCTAGCCCAGCTCCTTTAATTGGAGGCTGGGATTTATAACTCAACATTAAATGAAGGAGACACATTGCATGGTGACTAACAGCTAATTTGGGAAGGCATTTGGAGACAGAAATTCATGGGTTGGTGAATCAATTGGCCCACCTCTTTGCTCCCCATAAAATTATTATCAAAACCCTCATGGTTAATGATGTTCTGAGGGTTAACTGATGTTTGAGAACCCCTCAGATGCTCCTCAGCTGTTGGGGGCTAATAAAACCCTGCACTAACTCTCTTAGTTATTGTATTGTTACAGTTTTTGCTGTTTTTTTTCCAGCAATTTGATGTCAGGAAAAAAATCTAATCCATAAAGCAAGCAGCTTTTTAGCTTTGTGAAAAATAAAAGTGAGCATATTCAGAGAAAAAAAAAAAAAAAGTCAGGTCTCTGTCCTTTAATTCCCAAGAACAAAGCTAGAGAAGGCTGGTCCCCAAGTGAGGGTGGAATTTGGCAATTCCATTCCCATTAGTGTAGAGCAAACCCCTTAAATATATAATGGCTCAAGGACAATGTAGATTGGAAAAATAAGCTTGGAACTGTTAAGGCACCTAATTATTTTCCATCCATCTACCTTCACATTAAACCCCAGGGTTTGAGGCTTCCCTGGCTGCTGGGGCAGCCACTGAGTTTATTGAGTTTTTGAAGTGATGCTCTGTTTATAGAACTGCCATTACTCAGTCTTGGCCTTTGTTTGGAGAAGAATCCCTGTCCATCCTCACTAATGGCTTCTTCTGATCTCATCCAGTGTGGAGGATTTCCTGAGCATATTAAAAACATTCTTCACTCTGCCTTTTTAGTTTAGCCAAAGATTTAATGACTCCAGCATAAGAACTGTGTGTTTGAACTGGATTTGCTCCCTGACAGCTGATGCTGTGCACTCTGTTCCCTGCGTGTGCTCACGGGCACAAGGGGACTGCTTGAACTGCTCCCATCTGAGATTTTTCTGGGTAAGAACCTGTGAGGGTGGTGAGGAGGTGTGGCTGCCACAGCTCTGGAAGTGCTCAAGGCCAGGTGGGATGGAGCTCTGAGCAACCTGATGTTTTTAAAGAGGTTAAAATGCTCACTCATCTCACTCATCTTGTAAAATGTGCACAGCAAAACCAGGCTTAATTCCCTGCAGGACACATGAGCAGCACTTGCAGCCACCTCGTCCTTTGGCCAGGGAGAGGCTGGGATGTAACTGCAGTTACTGTTTGCCAGAGTGGGGCATTTTCATGGTAGGTTTAATTTTACTTTCTATTACTGGCCTTACACAGAGAAAACAACCCTGCAGGGCATGAGGGAGGGCAGGCTGGCAGTGCAGGGCATCTTCTCCTCTGCTGCAGTTCCTGGAGGAGAGGAGGTTAATTAGCAAATTGTAATCAGTGCCTGGGGGAGATCAGCACCTGAACACCTTTTGGAGGGTGCTGTGGGGCGATTTTGGGGTGCACACAGCTCATTAAACCCATTCTTAAACATTCAGAGCACAATTTCAGTGTAGACATTAAAAAGGACACCTCACTACCCCTGCCCACTTCTCCAGACTTCCCTTCCCCTCTCAAAAACAAAAAAAAAAGGGGGGAAATGGAAAAACAAAATAGATAACTCTCACTACTGAACTGCAAAACAACATTTCCCCCCCCAATTCAATATCATCCATTAAGCCTAAACTAACTTAAATCTATGTCAAGCATAGCAGAAGTGTTTACAAACAAACCACTAAAGCAGCTGTGTGACCAAAATTTCCTTCAGCCCAAATATTTTTCACCCTCAGACTGATCAGACACGTCTGAGACACACGTAATAACTCCCACCGGTGCACACTGACAGGCTGCTGCTGATTCCCCATAATTCCTTTTTTGTGCTGTGAAATATCATCTTCTCTATCTAAAGCAAATTGATCTTTTCACCCAATCTATTTGACAGATCTACCATTTAGTATTCAATTACCATTTCAAGAATAAAACCCGTTTGTGATGCAGGCACCAGGAGCTCGTGCTGGGGGCTGGGGTCTGCATCAACCCTGAGGCTGCCGTTATTTTTTTATGAAGACCAAGTTAATTCAGAAATATGAAAAGAATGGAAATAGGCACAAATATGCCAATTTATGCATTTAGCTCTTCCCCCCAGCATTTTTGATTTTCCTCTCCTTCTTTCCCCCATCCCCTTGAGCAGCTCAGGATGGCTGTGTGTCAGGAGCAGCTCAAACGCCTGCGAGTTCCTCCAGAGCAGCCTCATAAATTCCCATCCTGCTCTTCCCAGATGCATAAGTGTTTTTAAGTGCAGTATAGAGGTTTATCCTCATTTAACCACTCGTCTCTCCATTTTCGATCTCTGAAGGCTGAGATTTCAATA